CCTTCTCTCTTCTCTCTTCTAACTGTCAACTGAAATTCCAATCCGAGAAAAAGGTGAGGCGAGGTCTCTCACCAAACCAAACTAAAGCCCTCTGGGGTGAACTGTTTGTTGAGCTTCGTCTGCGACAACTCCTCGGATTTATTTTGTGTTCTGTTGTACAACTACTACTGAAAACCCTCTAAAGAGGAAAGGACCAGCAATCTGATCAAGTCCTGCTATCTCTCTTCCTCTCTTTGCTCTTCTCTTTCCTCGCCGTTCAGTCCTGGTCACCACCGGCGCCTCTTTTGCCGCCGAAACGCTTTGCTTCCTTTGCTCCTAATTTGTCGCCTAGGAAGGAAGCAGCCGCCAGCAAGCAACTTTAGCTGTCAGTGTATGCCCACGACGACGACGAAGGCAAACAGACAGACAGACTCTGTGTTTTATTTTATTATTTAGTTTTGCTCTCTGTGTGTGAGTGTTTCTCTGGACGCCAACTGGACGCCGGTATTCAACTTCTGCAGTTGCAGTTGCTGCAGTGATCAATTTCAATTGTGCCCATCAGTGCTGCTGCTGCCTATGCCTATGATTATTGTCTTTCCTTCTCCTCCATCTCATCCCTCCTTTTCTGCCACCGTTTTTCCTCATTGTAGTCCTCTGTTTGTCAAATGGTATGTGCTTCTCAGTATCTCTCCCTCTAGTTTCTCTTTCTTTATTATTTCCCCTCTGCTGTCATACAGTTGCTCACAGTATTTGAATAGACTCTAACTGTGATCTCTCTCTTTTCTTTCCTCTCTTTTTGTCAAACTCCTCTCCTCTCATTATTCAGTGACTGACTGTCTCTGACTCATTATTCAGAGTGACAAAGTCGTCTACTTCTTGACTAAATTGTCGTCCTCTCCCCTCCTCTCGCCAGAAGATGATGCTGAACTTTTGAACTTGAACCTCTCTGACTGTGGTGAAACACAGTGTCTCCCCGTCTTCCATCATCATCATCATCATAGCCATCTTCTGAATCTTTCGTCTCAAGCACACAGCTCCAATTTCTCCTCTGCTCAAGTTCAACTGCTTCTTCTTCACCATCAGTCCATTATGCCTAAACGGGTGACAGTCTTCCTCAATGGGCAAGATGTCAATGGCAAGGTAACTGGCAGCAGCTGTTTATGATTGCGCCCACTTATGAAGAAGAGGGAAAAAAACTCTGATTACACTCATTTCTTTCAGGCAATGCTCGTGCCCGAGACCTTGGAGAGGCTGCTGGCGGCGGCCCTGGCGAAGCTTATCATACCAAAGCCAGTAACGGAAGCCGTTGATAATGATGTCCCACAAACAACAACAGCTGATAAGGTCGCCTACCGCCTTTTCACGGCAAAGGGCGGCGAGATTGACGACCTCGAGGTGATTCGCGACGATGAGACGCTGTACCTGGTGGCGGAGGGTGAGCCTTTTATCGGGCGACCTAGGCCAACAACAACAGCAGCTGCTTCCAAAACTCCCACTTGTGATATAAAGACGGCAAAGAAGTTATCAAGGAGGAAGCAACGGTCGGCAGAGAAGGCGAGCGGCGATGGCCATTACAAGTCCACTTACAAAGTGTAAGCAAACTTATCAAATATGACAATTCAATTTTAACTCATCTTTTGCTTACCCCAAAAAAAACCAACCCCAATAGCCTCGAAGACGACTGGATCCGCCTGAACATCGGCGGGAAGGTCTTCACCACCACTCGCGGGACGATAGTCGCCAAGGAGCCCGACTCGATGCTCGCGCGAATGTTTGAGTGCGGAATGACCACGGGAGATAATAGAGGAGGAGGAGGATTTAGTTCCCCCACCTCCTCTTCATCCTCATCATCCTCTGCTGAAGACTTTGAAACTGCCACCTCCAGCTCCGGCGGCAGTCCCACGACGCCCACCTTCCACGACGCACTGGACGATCTAAAGACGGCCCAAAAGAGCCAGCGAAATAGTAGTCGAAATCATAAAACTAATGAGCACCAGACGCTGCTCGTCCCGGGGCGGCAGGACGAGACCGGGGCCTACCTGATTGACCGCAGCCCCGACTACTTTGAGCCGCTGCTCGGCTACCTCCGCCATGGGAGCCTCATCCTCGACCGGCACCTCAACCCGGCGGGCGTCCTCGAGGAGGCCAAGTTTTACGGCTTCTACGCACTGCTCCCCGAGCTCGAGGCGACCGTCCTCCAGGAGGCGATGCTGGGGAATAGCATTGAGCGTCACGTGGGCGTCGCCCCTCTCACCCGCCGCGAGGTGGTGAAGGCGCTGGTGGGCACGCCCACGGAGACGCGGCTCCGCTTTCAGGGCGTCAACCTGGCCGGGGCGGACCTGTCGAAGCTCGATCTGAGCAATATCAACTTTAAGTACGCCATTTTGAGGGGGGCTAATCTGCAGGTAAGGGTTTTGGAGAACGTGTTTATATTTTTAATTGGGATTAATTTTTGGGATTTTCTTTTTCCTCAGGGCGCCAACCTCAAGGACTGCTGTCTGGAGCGGGCCGATCTCTCGAGGTGCACGCTGGAGGGGGCGACGCTGATCAACTGTCACATGGTGTGCGCCAACTTGGAGGGCAGTAATCTGAGAGGTAGGAAGGAGGATTTGGGTGTTTAATCTTTTAGCCATTTTAATTAATCAAATGAAACTATCCTTTTGTAGGCTCCAACATGGAGAGCAACTCCCTCAATCAGATCACCAACCTGGAGGGGGCGAACTTGAATGTAAGTGGGGAAAGTTAGTAAGTGTGTTTTTTGGCGAGGTTCTAAAACTTGCAAATTTTTTCAATCACTTCAACAGAACACCAACCTCGAGGGCTCGCAGATGCGTCGCGTCAACCTGCGCGTCGCCTCGCTGAAGCACGCCAACGTGCAGAACTGCAATCTGGACTGTGCCTGTCTGGCCGGCGCCAACTTAGGTATTCAACTTTTTTCTATTACTTTTTAGTTTGTTTGTTTGTTTCTAACAAACCTTTTTTCCACTTTGTATTTAGAAAACTGTGATCTCTCCGGCTCCGACCTGAACGAGGCGAATCTGCGCGGCGCCAACCTGAAGGGGACGCGCTTCGAGCTGATTCACACGCCGCTGCACATGTCCTACCTCGCCAGCTGATTCCTCCTGCTCTATCCACGTCGAGGGCAGCAGCAGCCTCCTCTTGCTGGTGCTAATCCTGGAGGTGGAGGAGGCGGTGGGGGTCAGCGTGGTCTGGTGCCACCACCGGTGGCGCCCTTCTTCCCAATGGCGCCCAACTCCTTTCACCTGAACATGAACCACCTAAATCACCATCATCACCACATTTGGCAACCGCCGCCTCTACCACCAGCACCTGCGGCATTGCAACATCAACATCAACAGCAGCAGCAACATCAACGAAACCGATGAGGGGCAGCCCAAGACGTGAGCATAGAGCAAAAAAGAGTCACCTACTCAACAACTTTAAAGATACCGGTGGCAAAACTCCTTTTTAGGGAGATTTTTTCTTCATTTTCCCATCCCCAAAAATTAGTGTTCAGTAGTAGCAGCAGCAGCAATGTATAGAAATGATTGCACTGAAGAAGCATTAGTGGTATCAGAAATTCATCCCCTTCTCTTCCATTGATGAGCACTAAACTCTCCTTCTCCCTTTCATGCACTCCAAAATGAAAACAAAAACTCCAACTTTCTTTCACTCAGCACACACTCTGAAAAAAGTTGACACGTAGAATGATGTACAAGGAATGCTACTAAGCCTTTTTTCTTTCTCATCAGCAGGACACTGATTTCACCACAATTCACAATTCACTCACAAGCCTCTCTCTCCCTATCTGTAATATATGATTAAAGGCATCATCATCACCATCATCACTTGCTACAAACTTGCAAAGTGAGCAATCCTTGGAAAAGCCCTCTAGCAGCACCCAAACAAGCGAACATTTTCAGTCAAGAATTGTGCAATTTTCTTCTTTTTTCCCATAACTGCTGCTGTCCACTGCACACATCTTGTGACCATCACCACAGCAAGCCAAACAAAAATCCTTGACAGTTGGTGGACAATTCCAGCCTTCACCGGTGTTCGAAGGAAAGCTTTGCCAATATTTCTTTCTTTCTTTAAATTGTGTGTCCTCGAGACAAACTGCTGCTGCTGCGACCGGCCAGCCAACCAGCCAAGTCTGTTGCTCGAGGGCTAAGAAATTTTCGATTCTTCTTCCCTTCTGCTCGGTCAGTAAATCAGGCTAAGAGAGGATGATGATGGTGATGGTGACGATGGTCACGGTGAGACAGCCTTCAAGGCCGTCCAGTCTGACTGGGACCGCCACCGCCGTCGCTCTCCTTGCCACCTGTCGTTGCTGTTGCTGTTGCCATAGTGCCTCTCTTTCTCTCGACGACAACGATTACCACCATCAATCAAGAGCAGTAGAGCGGTGGTGATGGTGGTGGTGGTGACGTCTGCTGTTGATGTTTTGGGGAACTGTTGTCTGTTAGAGAGAGAGTGTGTGATTCCAAGAGACAGACAAGTGGTGACCACTGTGTGTTGCTTCCGCATTCATCATCATCATCGTTTACGATCGGAGTCAGCAGGGCAGGCGTTTGCTGGTAAAGCCTATCACACACGCACACAGGCCTTCTAGGTATTAGAAAAAATGTGTTGCATCGATTGCGTGAAAGCAGCATTTTTGGTGGTGGTGGTGGTGGTGAGATGAAATGGTGCTGATAAGGAAAGCTGTAGAGATGAAGTGGTGGTGGTGGTGGTGATGGTAAAGGGGTGAACAACAACAAAATCAATGGGGGTAAAAGCCCAGATGATCAGATGAGAAAAGTGATGATCACGAGTTGTTGAGTTGAATTGAGTTGAGTTATTGGGCCCCATAATAACTTGTGTGGGAACGGAGTTCTTTGCTTGGTGTGGAGGGCAGGTACATATTCAAAGAGAGAAAATCTACTGAAACAAAGGTACTGTCTCTTTACTCAGTGAGTCCATCAGGGAGAAAAGTGGTCAGAGGGGAGAGAAGAAGAGGAATATCAGGCACGAATAGAAGAGCTACGGCTGCTGCTGCTGCTGCTGCTGCTGGCCACTTTGACTGTTGCCGTTCGAAGACTCGTCCTGGCTAAAAGTCTGCTGCTGAGGCTACCGCTGCCGCTGTTGCCACTGCGGAAAGCTTTGCAGTCGTCCTCACGTCCAGCGAGGAGATTAGTGTGGCCGGCGCTGTTGTGGAGAGAAGTAGTCGAAGAGCAGAGCTGAGCAGAGCAGAGAAGTGCCGAGTGTTGAAGATAGCCACAAATCTGAAGACTTTTTTCCAAGAAGAAGAAGAAGATAGAAAGATTTTCCGCAGAACTGACTTTCGGTTTCGATTTCTATTTCCACCTCTTATCTGCCGCCGCCCAATCTCCCTCTCTCTCTCTCTCTCTCGGTGACCAGCTGCTGTCAAAATATTGTCACACCCTCAACAAACGAACGTGAACAACAACAACAACAACAAACAGAATCATTTTTCTAAAAGACGAGGACTATGGAAAATCTTCTTCAAAATTCGGAGGACTCATTATCTTCATCCTCCTTCTGCTTCTCGCTGACCACCACCGGCCTGGTGGCCACCCTGCTCGTCCTCTACCTGCTGGATCGAGGCCACCTCTCCTCCACCAGACGTCGACTGAGGAAGCTTCGCCGGACGATTTGGACGTTTCTCTCTGGTGGTTCTTTTGCTTCAGAAGAAGAGGAAGAAGAAGAAGAAGAGGAGGAAAGACCAAAGCTCGATCGGCCGACGGCGGCCGGCGTTCGCAATGCCCTCGGTCAGCTGGTCAGTTCGATTTACACGCTGCCTGGTAAGTTTTTTTCTTTTGGTCTTTGAGCCTTTTGTTTCTTTTGTTCTTTTGTTTGCCCAGTATTATTATCGCCGATTGCTTGTGATTGATTGCTGAAGCGGCAGTTAGCTCTTTAAATAGAACTCATTTTCACCAGATCCGCTTTTTACCGATTGACAACAGCGAAAGTGCATAGAGAGTACACTTTCACTGTTGGTTATCGGCTGCGGCGGCGTTCATCGGAATTTGTTGTCGTGTCCACCACCACTACTACTACTGCTAACTCACCTGATCAGCAACAGCTGCTGACCACTTCTTTTCTTCTTCTTTGCTTTTCGCCGCTTGTCCGAGCTGTGGGCAATCCCAGGCGAAAGGCATAGCTAGGAGAGAGTGATGACCGCCGATGCGACTGGACACACACAACTGGACGCCAGCTTTGATCATCAGCTTTCCCTTCTGATGACCACCTAACTGGTCAAAACTTTGCAGCAGCAGCAGCGGCAACACTTTCACTCACTGACCGGCGAGAAAGCTGGTTTGGATCGAGCTGAACTCTCTCTCGCTGCTGTGTGTTGCCAGGCAAAGGAGCGACCGAGAGAGATTAAGATTGAGTAGCAAATGCTCTATCCCGTATAATTAATTACCATCCGCTTCTCTCGCATCACCATAATCACTGTAATCGCTCTAACCCGTCCTAACCGGTGCAATCTACTGCTACTACCACTGCAGTAGCAGTATCTTTACTGAAGTAGACCTAAAACTAAACTTTTCTCTTAACAGCTCTTTACACCAAACCTTTGACCTTGTGCTGAACAGCTTTCTCTTTTTTCCTTTCCCTGTTTCATTAACTCTTCACTCTGCACCCCCCGCTGTGCACCTCGTGCACTTGAATCGCATTATCACATTACCACTGACTGGTTATCACCGGTGGTGATGGTGGTGGTGACAACAGCCACAGCATCAGCATCTCTCTGGGACACCTTTTCTTTTTCCTTCCCTTTTTGCCTGAGTAGTCTGGGTAGAAAGAAGCAGGCGCACGACAATCGTAATTCACTTGTCGCTCACTCTCTCCCGCACCTCAGTTCAATTCAAGGTCGAATTCAACGCTTTGAAGAGGAGCTCGTAAATTCAACTGTCTCACTCACTCACTCAAATTCTACCCTCCGGTCTCCTTTTCTTTTTCCTTCTTCTCTCTTCTCTCTGCTCAATTCTTTCACCCTACTGCCACTGCTGCTCTAATTTGCAATTGCCCCGAGGGGCCACCTCGGCCTGACCTTGGCCCAAAGTCAAGATCAGGGCCACTGCTGCTGCTGCTACTGCTAGTGAGAGTGTTTCTCTTTATGCAGACGATACTGCGTTCTCTTTTAGCACTACAGCAAAATTCTTTAGCAGCAGCTGTTGCTGCCCTCGAATCTCTCTGCCAATTACTATTGCACTTTCACTACTAGCTTAGCTTAGCTTAGCCAGCCACAGCTGACCATGAACTTGACCCTCGGTGAACAGAAGAGGAGAAGAAGAAACCTGTTTTTGTTTTTTTTCTGGCTACCTTTAACTCCTCGACACTAGCCTTAGCCTTTGCTCATAATCTTTGATTTTTATTAAATTTTCAGCCCCTCTAATTCTCTTTTCCCCATTTCTTTTGCAGAAGCGCCCAGCCCCTCATTCCGCCTGCCAGTGCTCGGCCACCTGCACCTGCTGGCGGCGTACCCCACCAATCCCTGGGAGGGCTTCAACGCCATTCGCCGTCGGTACGGCAGCGTAGTGCGCCTCCAGCTGGGCGCCTTCCGCTCGGTGCTGGTCAGCTCGACGGAGGCGATCCGCGAGGTGCTCCTCCTCAAGGGCGACGCCTTTGCCGACCGGCCGCACTTTGAGCGGCACGCCATCATCTTTGGCCGCAATCGCCAGAATGGTAAGCTAGGAATCTAGGCTAAGCTGTTTAGAACAATTCTTTAACCCCTTTAACACTAATTTTCCCCTTTTTTTTCACCAGCCCTCGCCCTCTGCGACTGGTCGGACATTCACAAGAGCCGCCGGTCGATTGCCCACGCGGCGGTCATTCCTCGCTTTGGCACGGTCACCTTTCACCGACTGGCCGACAGTATTCAAGGGGCCCTGGGGCGGATGCTCGGTGAGCTGAAGGAGAAACAGTTGCAGAATCTGCAGACCAAAAACGATGATGACAATGTTGGGGTGACGCTGACGCTGGACAAGGACCGCCTCCTCCGCCTCTGCGGCGCCATCTTCGTGCACTTTCTCCTGGAGAAGGAGGTGGCCGTGGACAGTGCCGCCTTCAAGGAAGTGACCGACCGCTACGACTTCATCTTCTACGACATCAATCAGATGTACCTGTGCGACTTTCTGCCCTTTCTGGCGCCGGTCACCGCTCGCCGGTACCTAGGTCAGGTGGCGGCCAACAGCGCCGTGCTCATGTAAGTGCCGCAATTTTGTAGTCTTTTTAGTTTTCTAATATTTTTCCTATTTTACAGGAAGTTCATCAACGACCAGGTGATTGAGCGGTACGAGCAGCTGGTGAGTGAGAAGAAGGTCGAGGAGGAGATCGTAAAAGAGGCTTCTTCTGCCTCGTCATCTTCAGCTGAAACCTCGGAAAAAACAGCCCTCGGAACAAATAACCTCGACCAGCAGCAGCAGCAAACTGAGCAGCAGCAAACCGAACAGCAGCCAACACTGGAGGCGAAGTACGACGAGAAGAGCTGCGACGAGCGCTTCGTCGACCGCCTGCTGCTGCACAAGCAGTACCAATCGAGCGCCCAGTTTCTCGACTTTATCCTCCGCCACTACCTGGAAAACCGGACGGTGATGACCTGGGACGAGGCGCTGTACGAGATTGCCGACCTGGTCGGAGGCAATTCGGCGGTGGCCAACCTTCTCGTCCGCCTTCTTGGGCACCTGGCCCTCAACCCCGAGGTGCAGCAGCAGCTGTACGAGGAGGCGGTCAGTGTGCTGGCTGGAAAGGGAGGGCCCGGAGAGGCCGAAAAAACCGTTCCGATCACCCTTCAAGATCAGTCACAGCTGCCGCTAACCAACGCGGCCATCATGGAGACGCTCCGCCTCGCCTCCTCGCCCATCGTGCCCCACCTCGCCCGCTACGACACCTCCATCGCCGGGTACCTGGTGCCCAAGGGGACGATGGTCCTCTTCAACGTCTACCACCTGAACCTGTCGTCCGACCTTTGGCCCGGCCCCGACGCCAATGGCCCCCTCTCCTTCCGGCCCTCTCGCTTTGTCACCCCGGAGGGCAATGTCCTCAAGCCCGACTACTTCTTCCCCTTCAGCCACGGGCGCCGCTCCTGCCTCGGCTACAAGATGGTCAACACGGTGCTCTTCAGCACGGTGGCCAATCTCCTGCTGGGCTACCGCATCGAGGCGGGCAGTGAGGCGAATCGGGCCCGGATGGCGGAGATGCTCGCCCCCAAGGGCTCCATTGCGCTGCCCTGCGATGGCTCCTGCTACGACCTGACGCTGGTGCCGAGGAGCTGAGTTTATCAGCTTGATAAGTTGATAAGTCGAATCATTGCAATCAACCGCGGACGTCCTATTACCACCGAAACCTACTGCTAAACGGAATCAAATCAAACTCTTTTCCTTTATTTCTCACTTAGGTCTTTCTTTTCTTTCTGTGCTTTTCTTTCTTTTTTTCATTTCTTTCCCACTCTCAAACAGTAACGGGTTTGCTTTACACACTTTTTCTTATACAATTAGAGTAACTTTTCCCACCTTTTCTTTTCTTTTCTTTTGTAGCAATACCACCACCACCGCCACCACTTCCCTCCTCCTCCCCATTTCCACTAATCCAATCCGAATGCAACAGTAAAGGCTCTATCTTTTTAATCATTTTTGGGATGTAAAAAAGTAAACATCAAAACATCAAGGAAAGGACAAGAAACAGCAAACAACAACAAAAGCTCAAAACAGCAGAAGAAGAAAAAAACTGTTCAAGACCTGCTCAAGACATGCTCAAAAGAGCCCTCCAATGAGGTGGTCAAAAGTTTCGAGGGCCATCAGGCCGTGACTCGCCTGGTGCTGCTCCCGCTGGCGCTGGACGATGCTCTTCTGCTGAAAGCGAAGTGGCACGGCTCGGTCCAGGGAGAACTTGCTTCCAGCGGGGAGGAAGATTTCCGTTGGAGTAGAAGAGGAAGAGGAGTTTTCCACTTTTGGGGGTGGATGAACCACAATGGTCGCCGCCCCCGTCAGACTGAGCGCCACATGGCCGGAGTACTTGGTCGACTGAAGACTGTTTGTTTGAGAAGATGAAGAAGGCGAAGAACCTGAGGAAGAGGCCT